AGGTTGGGACATGGTGGTGGAGTAGGATTCAGGATTAGACATATTCTCACAAATGCTAGTGCATCTCTTTTTACCTATAAAAAAAATACTAAAGTGCAAGCCCAACATAAAATATTTGTATCCTGAGGAAACTACTGGCCAGCCATTTCTTTCAGGTATACTAATTCATCTATACTTACTACAGAAAAAACAAATACTGGCCAACCCCCCTATGAAAAAAAAAATGTCTCTTACAATATGCATGGTAGAGAAAACACAACAAACTTCCCCAATGAAGCAAGAAATACTCTGACTGAAAGAAAACTGAAACTCGAATGAAACTACAAGTCAGCTAACAAAAAAAAAAAAAAAATGCTGTAACCATGGGGTGCTTCCGTATCTAAAAAAGGCGAGAACCTGAATTCCAAAAAGCATTTGAAGCAAGAAAGGTTCTGAAAGATACTCTCTCTTCAGAACTTTACATACTTGTACGGACTATTCTGGGCGATGTAAATCAATATGAACTTCGTGGTAGGCTGCAGAGAGTATAAGGTGGAGATTTACTCTGATCTGTTATAGGGTTCTAAGATCATTCATTTTATTGCTTTTCCATCTAGGTGTCTGCTGGTAAAACAGTACCTGAAAAAACAGTAGTCTGGACCGTTTTTTTTTTTTTCTAATGACAAAATCTTTCATTAACATTTTGAAAAATTATGGCAATCTTGTTTGGAATTTAATATGATGTTTAGCTTGGTCTTTTCTGTAAAGAATTTTCTAGAAATAAGCTGGTCAAAAGTGGTTTAACAAACAATTTAAAATATAAACTTTAAGATGCAGCATCCAAATATCTGTGTACCAATAGTGATGTAAGTTACAAGATTTTTCAATAAGTTGCCAATGCCAGATAAAATCTTAAAAAAAAAAACAAAACTGCAGGATACAGGAGTTAAACTACAAACTACTGTCGATTTTTTAAGTGTGGCATATAATTTATTTTATCAGAGTTACTGCTTTCATTATTAAGATAATTAATTTTGTTACAATAGTTATTTAATCCAAACATTCATTTGTAAAAGTAATTCCACCTTCCTAGGTGATAAAACACGAACAGGAACCTTCTAATAATTATTCTTAATACATACAACATGTTCACACTGTGTGTAACTTCAAAACCAGAGGAAGTTTAAACGACTTGATGGGATTTTGACCAACCAGAGTCTGATGTTTGATGTCATTAAATATACTTTTTTTAAAAAGATAGTGCTTGCTTTTGCCAGGCATCTTTTGAACTTTTCTCAAATTTATTATTTTATTAGCAACAATTCAGATAAGTGAATGTGAAAGGTAATATAAAAACTGCATGCCACACACATGCCCAGCTGTTTGTAAAGAAAGGACAGGACTACCACTGTTAGATGGGGTTTCAGGAGAAATTAAACTCAACAGAATCTCTGGTCATAGTCTGGTTTAAGCACCCCTGACAGTTCCCAACTCTTAAATATGAATAGGCAATCACTGCATAAGATAAGATTCTCTCAATCAAGTACTACTAAATTCTGAGTCTTTTGAAGATTCTGTGGTGTAAATGAGGCTGGATCTTGACTTTCTCCACTACTAGCTTAGTATTGGCTTTATCAGGGCAAACAAAAATCATCTATCTTCCTTCCTCCCTTCCTTCCTTCCTTCCTTCCTTCCTTCCTTCCTTCCTTCCTTCCTTCC